CATTTATTTTGGAATCCCATTTAAGATATTGTGGATAAATAAAAACTCAACATAGTTAAAAATATTCTTGGGTCTGACCTGTTCTCATTCCGATTAAATATTTACTAACCAAAAACTCGTTTTAAGTTCCATCAATGAACGGCAAAAAAAAACATTCTCATGCCAAGAAAAATTAAACGGAGAAATAGTGATGGGTGATATCAATCGTAGCGAGTTGGATATCTAGAACGAGATGTACAAAATATATCCTAGTCAGTAGGTACTTAGTAATTTAACCGAAACATTAAGAAACACCTTAACGCGTGTAATAATCTATAAAACATCTAAAATAAATCACCTTCCACCTGTAATTGTAACCCTTCAGACTTGATTGATCGTTGTTTTTTACTTTAGGATTTGATTTCCATTGCTCCTCTTCACTGCATTTAAAGTGTATGAATTACTGGTTGGACCTAAGTATAAAAAAAAAAAAAAAAAACTAGGCATACTCTACGATTATATAACCGGTTCAAAAAAATTTTACACAAGTTTTGAATTTGTACAACAAATGACAGATAATTCCCATTGACATCATACGAAGAAAGTAGTAAAACATTTTTCGTAAACTGTTGTAAGAAGGACTGATTTTCTGTAATATACCAATTGGGGATTTTTTTTTTTTAATAATTGAATTGGAATCCTTTTTTGCTTTACTCATTATTATTTCTTCATTGCAAGTTGTAACTGAAATATTATTACCTTGTGACTAAAATTATGTAATATTAGTAATTATGATCGGCTTGATTTATCAATGGCTACCAATTACTTAGTGTTGTATGGTTGTATTTTTTGTGCTTTATGTATATTATAAAAAAAATGGTTTTAAATTATTAAATTTTGCTGTAATGTGCGAACAAAGGCAAATTAAAAAAAAAATGTATTAAATCTTTTGTATTTTTTTTTCACATAAATCGTGTTATATAAAACTTTAATGTAACTTAATGATAAAAATAAAAAATATAATTTTCAATTAATTTAAAAATAAAATACTAGTTATTTTTATATAGTATTACCCATTAATAATTTCAAAGGTTTCTATTTATATTATTAATTTATTTTAGGATTATTGTATTTTATTTTTTTATTTATTTTGTGTTGCACTCTAAAAGAATTTATATTTGCATTTATTTATTTTTATTATTATATCGTATTGCTATTTTTGTTCTGACTATGAAAAATACTTCTTTAAACAATGCAGGCTTTAAAGAAATAATAAATATAATAAACAAACCTACTAGCAGTATCTACAACAGTAGTAGTAGCAGCAGGTCCGGGTTGGGGAAGATTCAGCATTCCAGGTCGGTTGTTGTATCTTGTGGATGGTTTTGTTACACACCAGTTCAGGTGCGTTCATCCAAAGACAAAAAATACACGCTGCATTCTCTTATTGGATCTTTAGAACTAATATATTAATCTTGTATAGGTTTTATTTTTATTTTATTCGTTTGGTCGGATATTTAAAATATAAAAAATGGTTTTAGAATTATATTTTAGCTATTATAACCTGATGTCTTATCGTTTTGTATAACATTAAGAATTGACTATATTATTGATGTTTGCGGTATTGTTTCCTAGTAGTAACGCACCTTAAAACTGCATTGAATTGTATATTGTGAGTGTGTCAGTCTTTAGTGTATTAAGTGTGCATATATCTATCTTCTTATGTGTTCAACATACACAATCATAAAATTATTTTCTATTAATATGTTAAAAATATGCATTACTATTATTTATGATTAGATAGTACCTATATATAGTATAGTTTGATTAAAAACAGACGTAGGTGAAATAAAGAATTTGTTATCCAAAATGCAATTTATTTTTTAATGATTTTCTTATATATATAAGTATAATCATATCATACAGACACTATAATATACAAACCAACACGTCATTTTACCTCCGCTTCATCTCGTATGTCCTTGTTGCCACTCTGTGTACATTTTACTTACCAGACACATAAATTTCGCCTTAGAATATTATTTCGACTTAACTTATTTATTTACATGTTTTTATCAGTTACATAAACTGTGTTTATACTAAATGTACACAAAGTTTTGGATATTTTTATATTGAAATATTTTGTGTATACAGATTGGAAGATGTTGATATTGCATTAAATTATTGTTCGTGGATTCAGTTAATAATCACAAAAAAACAAAATCCTTACGTTGTCATTTTTATAAAGTGCCGATATTAAATTTTATAAGATGCATATAGCTGTTAATTATTGAAAATTTCAACTCCGCTTTGGTTTATTATTATGAGTAATTACCATAGTAAATTCACAATTTATAAAATATGCATTTGCTATATATTTTAAAACAAAAATAGCATAATATATATATATTAATAACTAACAATAAACTATTTATATTTTGAGGTTACAAATTATTTTTAAAAATTATTAAAATATGAAAATATTATTATATTTTTTAGTTTTTATTATAATTATTTAAGTTTATAATAGCGGTTCTCAAACTATGCTAGGGCTCCGCGAGAGAAATTTAGGGACTCCTAAATAATCTGGGCACATTTAAATTAATTCAATTTAAATATTATATTTCTTAAGTATCGAGAAAAAATACAGGTATAATTACTTGAAATGCACAATGAATTGTACGTTTTAGTAACTTAAGTTACAACTCAGACTTCTGATAAAATTTGGTTATTTTGACGTTATTACTTGGCTGGTATTTTCACGAAATTTAATTAAGTAAATTTATCAATACAACATAAAATGATAACAGTTTTCACATCAAATGACAAAATCCGAGCTTCTAAAAAAAAAAAAAAAAAAAATTGGAATGTACGTTTTTCTCAATATGAAATGTTGATAATAATTTTTTTTTTAAATATAAATAATTAATTTTCGGGGCTCTTTAACTTTTTTTAGGAACATAAAGGCTCCGCGAACAAAAAAGTTTGAAAACCACTGGTTTATAGTACATTTTTTTACGGTATGTAAATTGGTGAAATTGGCGTAATTTATTAAATATATGGCTATATATATATATATATAAATAATCATGGGCCAATCTGAATGTTTATTGTAAAAAAACTAATTTTTCAACTTGAACATTGGTATAATATAAAAGTATAATTTTTTATAAACATTAAAATATTTGAATATATTTCACTTCCACAATTCATTATTTTCTAACTTTGTACAATATAATAATGTCACACCCTATTCGCTTATCTTGTTATCTAAATGTTTTTTTTCAAATTAATAAAATAATTAAAATATTTTTAGATAATTTTTATTTTCTATAATACCACTGTTTGAATTGGCCACGGCATCATAATGTTTATCGTGTTCGGAAATAATATTCAATTGCCTTATAGTTTTAAATCTATTGAAAAAATTATTATTTATCTACTTTATTATTGCAGAAAAAATGTCATTAGAATCGAAACAAAATCTGAACATTATTTTACTGTTTCCATATGACTACAAGCTATTATAGTTCCTTCAAATATATTTCTATTTCACTAAACCTTACCTTTTACTTTTCTCATTAGTTAACTTAATTTTTGCAATTTTTATTTTATTCATCATTGATATAGGTATTAATATTTGTTTAGTGTACGTTTTTAAAAATACGATTTAATAATTATTAAATGTATGTTACGTTATCTTGTTACGTAAAAAATAATATTTATATTTAAGTATATATTACATTTATTAAATATATAGCTAAACGTTTAAAATTACTGATATAGGCAAGCCAATATACTATATTTGTTTTGGTGTATTTAAAACGATGCATCCCTAGATTTATTCATATCAAATTGAAAATAAAGGATACGTATAATCTTGATTGTATATTATATATGCATACACCACCCCTACATAAAACCCCTACTTCTTTTATGTTGCCGTGATAAAAATCCATTGTTAGAATTGTTAGAAATCTGACACCTATTGAAGCCCTTATTTCCCTCAGGTTTCAATAACAAGAGCATATAGGGGCCTATTTTACACACTTGGTCAAAATAATAATAATATATTCTATTGACAAATGTTGGTAGTTGTTACTGAAAAATATATTTTATTTTAATTTAAGCGTTTTATACAAAATAATAGTTTCTTTTTTGTAATGACATTAAGATCCAATTAATTACATATAACGTATATTGAGTTTTAATATTATCTAATTGATCTAATTAATATGCTACTATAAGAAATCTTTTCATAACTAAAAATTATTTATGTTTCGTGATGTACACTTTTAATACACATATTCCCTATCGTAAAAAATGGAGTTTTGTCTCATTAGTCGTATGCAGTGGTATGCAAAACACGTTTTGGTATACTAGACATAATAAATTGCTGCTTAATGTGATTTAAATAAACCGCCAAATAAAACCACCAAAATGAAGAACGCGACATTCCTATTTCTGACCTTGATAAATGCAGGTGCTTGTTATAATAATAAATATATGATCAAATATTAATATACTGAATTTGATACGAAAATATACACATTAATTTAGCACTGCTGTAATTCATTTAAAAAATTACTAATTCTTGAGTATTTATGTTAATGTCTAAATTAATAACACACATTATGTGTTAAACGAATTAACATGAAAATGCAATTATCAACTATTACAAAAATGAAATTATCTACTATTACAATATACATGTACAAAATTTACTATTTTACCGTTTATATCTTCTTCACCTTCCCCGGATAAATAAAAGTGTAATAAAACTGGTTTTAATGTTATTCAAGAAACCTTTATATTTTTGGACACTAAAAACCTGAAATTTATTACCTGAAATATTTAGATTTTTTTTACTTGTGTTATTATTTAAAAAAATGTAGTTTTTAATGATGAGTTAATTTAAGAAGTAGCTGTTTTATGAATAACTTACTGTTGATACAATAATAATAAAACGTTTATAAAAAATCAAACCCATCTCCATCAATGGTTATTTTATTTTGTTTCAGGAACAACAATGAAGTAGAATAAGTCTACCTAATCAATTAAATCGATCAATACCTAATCAAAATGAACTATCAACATATTTTAATCCCAATTTTAATGATTTTAGTATTTTTAAGAAATACATCAGGTAAGATTTTGATCTAATTCTAATTTTAGTATTTTTAGAAAATATTTATTTTTGCTTATTAAATGTATTTGTTATAACTTATATTATAATTACGATTTACGTATTGAAAATATAAAACTAATAAATAATTAACATAGTATTACTATATAAATTATTATTGTTCTAGCAATTGGAATATTTTTTACTCGATCACCTGAATCATTGGTCGCACCACTTCATGACGAAGTTGTGTTTGATTGTACTCTTAATATTGACGTAGACTACATCAAATGGCGTCATAATTCTTCGGATTTTTCATATCCTGCTCAATCTCATACTAATACTAATAGTAGATTGGTTGTTAAAGTGGAGAGTATTGCAGAAACTGGTGATTATCAATGTGTGGCTATTATTGGAGCTTCTTCCTTAGCGTCAACTGCGGCAACACTGAGTTTGGCTACATTAAAAGAATTTGATAATCGTTCATTATCGTCTAATGAAAATACGTTTCAAATAACTACTGGGAATACAGTTACTTTGAACTGTGGAAAGCCCATACAGAGTGATCCACCTGCATTAATTCAGTATTATAAAAATGGTCAACCATTACCCAGGACTACTCCAGTATCTTCAGCTGGATCAGTATTATTGAAAAATATCCAACCTGAACATAGTGGCCATTATACTTGTTCAGCGACCAATAATATTGTATCTCGAGTAGTAGATTCGCCCATGTCCATAAATTTAAATGTGCATTCAAATCACGTTGCATTATCACCAAGGTTTTTAAACAAACCTCAAACATTATACATTGCTCAAAAAAGTAAATATATATACATATATTTATATTATGTTTAAATTTCGTTTTCAATAATTGTTCAATTATTTAAAAATATTAGCTATTTGTCTTCATTGTCATAAGTAATTTATATTAATATACTATGATCTACTTCATGTAATGATCCTAACATTATATGTACTTTAGATTCAAATGTAAGCATCGAATGTGCACCATATGGTGAACCGGTGCCTACTGTTCAGTGGTTTGGAATTCACAAAAATAAACTTATGAATAGTAACAAAACTAACATAGAACCGGGGTTATTAACTATTCGTAATTTAAGTATTGAAGATTCTGGTGTATACGAGTGTAACATTGAAAACATTTATGGAAAAATAAATTATCTTATTACTCTCCAAGTTCAAGGTAGATATTATTTAATAACGACATTCATTGATATTTTAATGTGAATATAAACTTATTTCTATTTAAAGAATTACCTTATGTGAAAAATGGTCCTAGTGAATTTGTAATCATAAATGAAGGGAGTTCAGAAACATTAAAATGTGAAGCTATGGGAACACCAAATCCAAAAATTATCTGGTATCTTAATGGTAAACCAGTTAATGATTCAAATATATTTGTTAAAGGTTAGTCAAAAATATAAAAATATATTATTATATTTTAGAAATGTAAACTTATTTTATTTTATTTTTTTAGGAGGTATTTTGACTTTAAATAATACTCAAAAATATCATGCTGGATTTATTCAATGTTTTGCGTGTAATGTTTTGGGATGCTCATATTGGGCTGCTATGATTCAAGTCAATCCAAAACAAATAACACAACTGTCTTCTCAACAATACAATTACGAAGGTGTGTGTTCGATACTATGATAGTTTTATTTTTAAATATAACTATTGCATTTTGTTAATTTTTTTTTTATCAATACACTAGACATGTAATTAAAAGAAAAGCTTGCTTTATAATACATTAATATTAATATAAATAAGTAGTAAAATACTTATAGTTCTATAAAATTGTTTATTGAGCATTTTCAATTCCATAAATATGTTCTTAAGTTTTAAACTAATATTATTATTATTATTATTTTTTACTATATATATGAAATCAAATTTTTTGTAATATTAATAAATTATTTTGTTTTCTATACAAAATCAACACTTTGATGTTAGTTATGATAGAAATAAAAAATATTTTTGTATTCAAGTAAATATCATTGCTAAAAGAATTAAACTAAAAATGGGATGTGGGTGTATTGTTCTAATGAATGCAGAAACTAATACCACATTTTTTCAGATTCTACAACAAGATCATCTCCTCAGCGAGAGAGAAAAGATAGAAATCATAAAGGAAAAGGTCATAAGAAAGACAAAAAAAAGAAAGGAAATGGTTAGTAAATTAAAAAAAAATAGTATTATAAATAAGATTTGTAAAGTGGTATATTGTAAATTAAAAATTTCTTATAGAGATGATTCCACCTTCGCAACCAAATGTTACTCGTTTAACAGAAAACTCAGTAATGGTAGTATGGAGTGTTCCACCAAATGATGGACTGCAAATTCGATTTTTTAAATTGCAATACAAAGAAGTTAAAGATAATTGGTGGAATACAAGTAGTGATGATATACAAATGCATATTCGATGTTATCAAGTGGATAAGTTATTGCCTGATCGTGAATATGTGTAAGTGTTTAAAATGTTATAGTTTTATTAGTTAAGTATTTAGAAATATAAATAAATAGCTATTAAATTATATGGATGCGACTTCAACACGTTTTATCTTTATTTTCTTGGTAATAATCGTCACCAGATGTACGTATCATTTTTTATCCTTTCGCGAAAAATCAAGTTTTAGTTTGTTCTATGTTACTGGTTTTTTTTTTTTTTTTTAATATTTTGAAATATATAAATATTCATACACTTGTAAAGTATCATAATCTAAATCCAAAAGATAGGTTTTACATTTGTTACAATATAGATTAGATATTCAGAACTGGTAAACATTATCTTTCTTGACACTGCCCCTGGTTTTAGTAATTAGTCATATTTTATTTAGATTTAAAGTAGCAGCAGTGTATTCAAATAATGATAATAAATCTGGTCCAACTTCAAAACACTTCTTTTTGAACAAGGGACCACCCAATAGAACTTTAATTCCTCCAACATTAATGTCAGCCAAAGCCGTCAATTCTACTTCTATATTATTAGAATGGGAAGTATGTACTATAATTTTAATATAGTATAAATATCAGTTTAAAAATGTTTACTTATTATATGGTGTATTTTTTAGTACTTGAATTCTGTACTAGCACCAGTTCATGGATTTTATGTCTATTATCGGGCTACTAGTACTGCTGGTGATTACACCAAAGCAATAGTTGAAGGTCAAAATGCTCGTACATTTGTTGTTACACATTTACTTCCAGATACTTCTTATGATTTAAAACTTCAAAGCTTCACCATCAATGAAGCTTCTAATTTTAGCGCCATACTTATACATAAGACCTTTGGTATGTATCTTAATTACTTGTATGTAGAGAATTTAAATACAAGAAACTAATTTAGTAGATTATTTTTTATCAATTTAATGTTTATTGTTTAAATCACATTTTCAGGAGAACCTAAAACTAGCACAGACACTCCAAAATGGACGGATAATTCAGTAGATAGTACAAGTAATAACAATGCATATTCAACTATTGGTGGTGTAAGATCACTTTATGTTTTGCTTGGCGCAATTGTTGCTATAATAGGAGCTATTATTTTACTTATATTTGTAACAGTTTGTATGTACAGTAAACGATCATCAGCACACTCAAATTCTGCTGGTAATTATTGTTGTTTTTTTATGTTACTTCTTAGTAAGAGTTAAAGCAGGGCTTAAAACAATTAAAAACCATACATTTTAAGAACCCTAAACCAGTTTTCTTTATTATCCGAAGTTTGAAAAGTGGGTATCAGTAACCGATTAACAAAAGTTTATAAAGATGTATACTAAAACCCAATTATCAAAATTTTTTAAAAACATTAATTTAGCGATACCCAGTAACCATAATAATCCGGAAAAAGTTTTTTTTGTTCCAATTACCAATAATTTATTTTTATTTTAATTTATACTTAATTAGAAAAATATTCATTGGTAATATTGAAGTTATGAATTTATGGTATAATTATATATATATAAACAGTATTAAGTACGTATACGCCGTAAGGTATATACAGTGGTCGCCGCTTATTGAACTTGCTTTGGGACCTGACCATTTGAGTCCATTAACTGAATAAGTGAATAAGACGAATTACCTATATTATTCTAGTATAAGGTAATCAGTAATTAGTAAATGACACTTCTTGGAACAAGAAAACTGGTAACCGGTTTTTAATAAAATGTCGGCTACTACTGGAGCTAATTACTTTTTATTTTAAAAACGGTTTTAAGCCCTGAGTTAAAGGTTATAATTAAATTATGTTGAATTAATAGAGCTCAATAAGAATTCTGAAGCTGTATCAGGACTAGAACCATTGTCAATGAATGGGTTTGCTCTAAAAAATGGTAAAATGGTAAATGGATGCACATTGCCAATAGGTTCTGATAGTACGCATGGACATACTCATGCACCAAACGGTTATGTAATACATCCAATTAATATTACTAATAATCCACTTGCTCCTGATGCCAAAGTAAGTTTTCAATTATAAGTTGATATAACTGATTAAAAATTATTAAATATGTATATTTTATAGAATACTATTGAGATATCTTACTTAACCAATCATAATAACAATTGTTCAGAAAATGAAATGAATTCATTACCTAGACGAACTCTGCCAATACCCACTGATACTCCAAGGACATGGCATTCAAAAGATGCTAAAGATGAAAACTATGTGTGACGTAAATTGATGAAAACAATTTGGAATTTATTGATATTTAATGTACCACAGATTTGATCTGTCAGACTGAAGGCACTAATTTTATAAACAATTATTAATTTGTTTTATAAATTATTTTGGCTTAAAGAAAAAAATGGAATTATACAAGACTGAACTCAAAGTCCTGCCAATAAATTGCTCACCATTAAGATATTTTTCTAATTTTAACAACTCGATATTATTTATGAATCAAATTATTTAATGTATACTTTCATGTATAGACAACCCATTAATTTTTTTATGTTATACTTGTGTACTATTATCAGTATTTTTTGTCTATTGCTCTAATTTGTTTGTTAACTATTTTATTTTTATAGTTGGTTTTTAATATTCAGGGTGCTAATGTGATTTAGTGTAAGAGTTTGTGTTTAAATTATTCAAAGTTTAAGTTTAAGTACTCTCTATCAATGTTTGTGTGTTTAACTGATTATAAATTTATTTTTCATTTACATTAACAGTATTAAAAAAAAACATAAAATTGTAAATTTTTCTTTGAAGATCAGCAAACGTGTTGAACATGCATCATGCATTGTTAAATTTATTATAAGACTTATTGAACTAATTATTTTGTGTCATCTAGTCTAGATCATTACCACTTCTAATTATTTGATTGTATTATTAAATAATTTATCATTTTAATTTTAATTTATTATTTAAACATTCAATGATTATTTGACTCGGCACAAAATATATAATATCTTAATCAATTACACCATACAAGACACTAAATCCCTTAATTGCTCCTTAGAAATGTTCTAAATATGTCACTGTTCTATGTTATACTATTTATTTAGTTCATATGTATATATGTTGTATTGTAATATTAACAGTAACTACTATTTTCTACTTTTTTATATTTTTATTTCTTGTATGTTAACTGCATTATAAATGTATAAATAATGTATAGATAATTTAACAATAGTGTTAAAGTCAAAGTGCAATACTTTATTTTTACATAGATTTTATTGTATATTAATTTTTATATTACATTTTTTTTTTTTTTTTTTACTAGATGTGTATTCTTTACAATCCTTTCTTAAGTAACCATTCATTAACTCTTGAAACATGATCACCATGTATACAAAGATGACCACATACTTCATGCACCTTAGTAGCAATTATTCTTTTATCACCATATACTTTTTGCAAATATTTCTTTAAAGCTTCTTCTAATTTCCAAATATCACCATCTACGTTGTTTATTTGGGTGATGCGTCTTGTTCCTCTCATAGACACTTTGAGGTATACAGGTAACATATGATTGCGCGTACGGTGAACAAAGTATGGATATTGCCCAAACTTGGCTAAAAAAAAAAAAATAATAACATAAATAACTAAAATGTATACTGTGAAATATAGTTAATTATATAAAATTTAATTTTATTCAATCAAAATAATATTTAAATATATTGATTACTATAGTATTCTTTTAGAGGAAGTAAAGCGAAACACTAATAGAATTTGTTTTCCTATTGATTCCTAATTAAAAATATTTAAGAAATTAAAGACAATAATATATTCACTTATCCTTAAACTTTTCATCCCCACAATACATTTTATGCCAACTTCCAAGGTTACACTTTCTCTAATGTCATTCTACATTATCTTTCTCTGCTAACTCGCTAATTAAATTCTTTTCACTGTTTTCTACATTTCATTAATAGTCCATTATTTTGTTTTTTTATAAATTAATCTGCTGTAATATATATTATGTAAAGATAAATAATAAAAATAAACAGGAAGAAAAACAATTTTAATAATGATCGATCAAGATATTGACAAAAAATATACAATAATATGGGAATCATTGAAAACTTAGTTAACTTATTGAATTCAAGAATAGGTTAACATAAAATTGATAAATAAATAGTAATTGTAGTAAGTATACTATACATTTTTTCTATTTTATTTACCTGTTTGAGGTTGCCAACCAGATGGAAAATTTTTACCATCAGGTGGAGGTGGTATAATTGTCAACGGTAATAGTCTTTCTACAAATTTCCATTCTTCTGGTGAAGATGACACTTCATATTTGGTATAATGAGATGGATCTTGAGCGATTGGACTTGATCGATATGATGAATCACGTTTGCATATTGAATTCTGTACAAAATAACGTGAAATATTAATGATGTCTGAATTTTTATCACCAACAGTTATAATAACAAAAAATTGATTGACGGGCCAAAATTTTAAATTTAGATAAATTACTATTTATACAAATTAATTAAGATAATTAAGATTCTAATATTTTATACTTCAGTGAACCAAGGTTAATGATAACAAGCCATAATTAGTTACCATTGTGGCACATAATCTTGAATTTAGTAAAATATATTTTATAATTAAGTGAAGCACTGAAGAATAAATTTATAAAATTAACATCAATTGTTTAAATTAGGATAAAAAAGTATAGATAATATGTATAATCAACATATTAATTGATATTAATATGTATACGTATTAATAAAAACCCTGATAAAAAGTATTAGTATTAAATTAAAACTAGAGTCTAATAAATTGCATACGAAGTTTGAAGACAATTATTTGGTTTTAAATAATATACTTACATTAATTCGTAATGAAACTCCACTAGTAATTATGGCGTTTTTAATAAGTAATCTTAGAGCCATTGCATCTAATTTTACCAATAAATAGGTATTACAACAATTCTTATTTTATGATATTTATAAAATAATAGCTATTTGAATTAAAGATAAAGTAAAAATACAATTTAAGATACTTCCGTTTTATTCAATTAATTGATGGTAATTTAATTGAAAATAGTATTCCCTTCTACACATTGCATGATGATATAACATTATGGTTTCCTTAGAACATTATCTATTCTGTGATAAAACTAATCTATTCTATAGAACCACTACCATAGTAGTGTGAACTTGGTATAAGATTTATGATTACAATTGCAGGTTATCTTAATTCATGATTATAATAATATTGTTGTGATATAATAATATGATTTCATCATGAACTACAATTGTAGTAGTGATTTCTACAGTCCATGATTGAAGATATATCTTTAATCGTGCTACAGCCCAACCCCTATTTCGTTAATAGTTTTTTCAATGTTTAATTTGTGTATTGAATTATTTATTTGAATCTGTTTATTATTAATTCTATTATGAATTTTATCACCAAGAAAAGGAACATTTCAAATTCTATCAACGTTTTTAGGTAAGACATCGTAAGAGCGCAATTTTGACAAAGTAACTACAAAAAACTGTAATGTTTTATGGCTATTTAGTAAAAAAATTCAATTTATATATTAGAGTGTAGTGTGGAGTTGAATACAAACCAAGCAACAGAGGTAATTATAAGGAGAGTAATTGACTGGAATGCTTGTTTGGGTTGCAAGTTTGGGAAAACTTAGCACAGTCCAAATTTGGAATTGTTTATGTCCATATTGGTTTCAAAAAAGATTAATACATTGGTGTGGATTGGAAGTTTTGATTTTAAAACTGGACGAGTAAATGTAGTCAGCTGTAGAGGGTGTTTTTTTTTAGTTCAAGGTGGAGGCCCCATGTTAATCTTTTATCAAATGTAATGCTGAGATATTTGACATCAGATGATGGATTTTGAGTACCCTGGAAGTAAATAGTTGAAAGGTCTGTTATTTTTAAAGTAAATGGTACATAAATAGATTTGTTGGATTTATTTTTATTTGCCATTCAGTTGTGCAGTTGTTGATGGAATCTAAATGGATTTGTAGAAAGTTGGATGTTTTATCAGGATTATTACTAGTTTAAAGTATTGTGCTGTCATCTGTGTAAGTGGCCACGATGGTGTTTTTATAACAGGTATGTCAGCCATATAAATATTAAATAGATCAAGGGAAAGGTCGCTACCTTGGGGTGCACCAGCTTTAATGCAAAAGTATGATGAATATGAGCATCCATGTCGGAGTATATAGAAGTGATTTTTGAGATATGAGTGAATTATTAAATAATATTGTGTAGGTAAAAAACCATAAGTAGGCTTCCTTACTACGCTCGGTCTAAGGTTTGTGTTACGTCCAAAAAAATATCTGAAAAAATTGCATAATTTCGATAAAAGATGATATTTTGTCTGTCAATCAATGAATTTGGTGGACTGTGAAATATTTTGCATTAAAACTAAATTGATGAATTTGTGAATTTGCATTATAGATTTTATTAGTCTGTAGAAGGTAGCTAGGGTTTGCGGTTCATTTGGTTTTGGTATAAGTATTACAGTTAGAAAATTTGGAAGATGAAAGTAATCAGAAGATTAGGTTAGTGAGGAAGATTATTGAGGACTTTATTATTAATTAAGTCATAACCTAGAGATTTCCCATCCTTTAGTTTTTTATTAAAAATTTTATTTCAAGGTTTAGTTTGATTATAACATATTTGAATTGTTAATACAATTTAGCTTATTATATAAGTACTAGGTAATGAAATGCATATTGTTAAGTAAATATATTAAATTAAGTAAAAAAATTTTCTTTTATATTTTTCAAATACCAATGTGTATTCTGACTATTAAACTGACTAATTTTTAATGATTTGATTGATTTGTTTGACATTTATTGTATTAATGTTCTTATGGTATTTAAGATGAAATAAATAAATATTTATTATACCTATATATTAATAAAGAACTTATATTTATTTTCAGATTTATAACACAAGACTTTGCTAAAGACACAATAAATCCTAATGAAGTTGAACATCATTCTAATTTAAAAGATATTTGGTGGAAGAGTAATGGACCATTAAATGCATTACATTCTTTTAATCCATTGAGGTAATTTACAAAATATTTTTATACAACGATTACCATATTTTATTTGGCAAAAACTGGAAACATTTTTTTTTTCATTCTTTCTTATTTTTAATTACACAGATACATTTATTACAAAAACGTATTTCTTTATTAATTATTTACTACTATGGCATACCATATTTCTTCCTTGAAAATGTACAATACCCCTTTCTGGGATAAAAGGTCTGAAATAAATGCTGACTACATTATAATTATTCTATGCTACAATGATTAGTTTACTATAACTAACAAAATATTAAATAATGGTTGATTCGTTAAACGATAACTGCAACTGTTGTAAGGGAATGGAAATACAAAAAAAGTATTTAACAAAAATATTCGTCAAAATCAGAAAAATAGTTGAAAATAGATTTTGACAGTAAATTATTCAATTTTTTTATTTTATTATGACAATAATATTATGGTTTTTCAACCTAAAGTTTAATAAAATATAAACATACAATATTGAAGTCTTATTCCGGGTTAATTGGCTATTCTGAAACGTATCATAGGGGCACCATACTAAAAATTGATACTATCTTGGCCAAATGGGACATATAGCAACTTAAGTTGATATTATATATTCATAAATTCTTCTAAAATCATAATAAAAATAGAATTTTTTGGTTATTTATCAGTAAAATGTCAATTATCTTTGTAATTTCACATCTACCACACTATTATGTTTATTGATTATTCATCATAAACTTTATTTGGTTAATACTAATTCTGTATTTTGATTATATAAATTATTATTGCTATTAATGTTTTTTGTTTTATTTAAAATTAGAATTTCATTTATAATAAATGGATTACTGAACATGAAAAAGATAGAAACCAAAAACATTGGTACACGTCAAAGTTTAAAAAATATAAAAATACTGGACGTTGGTTGTGGTGGTGGTGTTCTAACTGAAGTACAGTGAAAATATAATTATTTGTTAGATTGAAGTTTATTCAGTATATTTTAATTTTTAGGCTCTGTCACGTCTGGATAGTAATGTCACTGGAATAGATCCCAGCAAAGAACTTATATCGATCGCCATTGATCATTCTGTAATACTTAGAAATAAAAATATCAAGTAATTATATGTTTAAAATCATTAAAGAATTTAATTTTTATATTTTTTTCAATTATTTATTTTCAGATATCTTAATGAGTCTATTGAAGAACATATGAAATTGAATGTAGAGGCATATGATGCCATTGTAACTTCTGAAGTTTTGGAGCATATTTCCAACAAATATAGTTTTTTAACGAGTTGTGTTGAATGTTTAAAGGTAATTATATTATTTTCATTAAAATAAAACAGTATATTAGATTTTCAACTTGTTAAGTTACAATTTCATGTTCAATATAGTTCTTTAGTAAGTGTATACCAAGTGCCCAGATAATTATTTTTTTATAGCAAGACATATTTAAGAACATAAGGGAAGATTACATTTTTATTTATTCATCAAATTTCTGTTATGCCATGTAAACTATTTTGGGATTGTGATACAATACTGTAGTTTAACTATAAACAATTAAAAAGGTTTAATTAAATTTTTTTACATAAAATTTGTTAAAATTATGAAGTTTGTATTAAAAGTTAAATTATAAAAAAACTGGGTAAATAAGTTTAATGAAATTAAATATATAATAATTTATAAATATAAGTATATATAATTATTAATTTTTTTAGTATATTCATCAATTTTTTTTTAAGAATATTTTAAAATGAATTCACTTATATATTTTTGCATTTATATTTCCATAAATCATTGTTCTAGAAATTAAGAAATGAAAAAATGTACAAAAATGTTTTTTCTGTTTCATACAGCCTGGCGGATCTTTGTTTATTACAACACCAAATAGAACATTTTGTTCTTGGTTAAGTGTAGTAAAAATAGGTGAACAATTAAATTTTATACCTAAAGGCACTCATCAATGGGAAAAGTTTATATGTCCACATGAACTACAGTCAATTTTGGAAATGAATTGTAAGTGTAAAATTATTAATTTGTTAATCTAATAACTTCACTCCATACAAAACTTAAATTTAATTCAGCAAATAATAATGTATTCATTGATAAAACATATAAATCTAATTAATATATGACTAATATATGAAAAATAAAATTTCCTTTTTATGTATTTTTGTTTTTCTAGGCCAGTGTGATACAATTGCAATTAATGGATTGACATATAATCCTTTTACAAACCGTTGGTGTTGGACTGATTCGACTGATATTTCTTATGCGTTACATGCAGTTAAAGGAAAATAAATTTTATTATTTCTATGTATATTATGTTATTGTATATTATTTATTTTCTAAACAAATACTTCTAAAGTATAAAAAATAATAATTATTTAGTTAATGAATTGAATAATTTAGTTGTAGTTTAGTTCTAAGAAAAAAAAAAATGAATCTAATGTAACACAACTAAATTTTAAAAATAATTGTATTTGTAAAAAAATTTAAGTATAGCATTTTTTGAGAGATACAATAATCAAACAAAAATGGATAAAATTGACTTATTTGTTGTGTCTGTGCACTACTTTTATACTTTTAATTAAAATGTAAATATTTATTTATTGATGCTTGATTAATATAAATGCATAAAGTATGTACATAAATGGACAGTATATGAACTAGTTATTGAAATATATAGATGCACAGAATGAAGTATTAGTACCATTAAAGTACAATCTAGAAGACTCCCACAAAATAAAACAAAAGTTAAACTATCATTTTTCCTATTAAAAAAAAAAAAAACAAATATACAAAAAAGGTTATAAAATGCAATGCGTTATTGATAATTTAAAATGAAAATAAAATATTACTTGATTAAAAGTAGATAGACATTCAATTGGTGAAAATTCACAGTTTAACAGAGTTCTAGGAAAACTAACTTCTAGGAAAATTCAACCACATCAATTTAAGGCAAAAAAACTTCAATTTATTACACCAGAAATTTTTTCCACAATGTTCAATGTTAAATTTAAATCTTTAAGTTAATATTATTTAAAAAATAAAATAAATTTTCTCGATACAATTAATTTTATAATAATTAATATAATTTAAATTATATCATATTTAATTGGAACAGAATCAATTTACTGTTCCTCACCTGGCAATACAAATCGTATTAAATCAACTTGTACATCAAGAGAATCTTTTTTATGAAATTTATAAGATGCAGGCAAATCAAATCTTAACTCAGCGATAACCTTAGAATATACACCCATTCTTTTTGCAGTATCCATCACATATTTTCTTGTGCTTGTTTTATGGAGCGAATATACAGCCTTAGTAGCCAAGTTTAAAGCCATTTTTAAAAATATTAAATCGGCTCCTTTAAGTCTTGTTCCAAATGGTGGGTTCATTATTACAGTATCAAATGATTTAGATTTTATGCTTGTATAAATGGTTTTTACGTCACATAAAACAAATTCACAACGCTCTGATACATTTCGGTCAGCAGCATTTTCTACACTCAGTTTAATAGCAGACGGGTCAATATCAAAACCTATAAAACAAATAAAGCAAAAGCTTGTAATTTTAAATGTTGAAACCTATTATTATAGATAATACTGCATAACCTGTACATAATTTAGCATTTAATAGAGCAGCACCAATACATAACACTCCTGAACCACATCCTAAATCAGCCACCATCTTATCCTTTATATCGTCATAAACAAATTGCGCTGTATGAAGAATACACGCAGCAATATGTGATGATGTAGTATATTGTTCTAGTTCGATCTTTGGATTTTCAAATGTCTCAATATCTTCAAGCTCATATTGTAACTTTTTTAACTTCATTGTTGCCATAATTGAATTTTATTTCTCAAGTCGTGGTAATACAGGTAGTATAGAGTTTCCAAAAGCGGAATCTGTAGTAATAAAAAATCCAGCAGATTGCAACGCTTGAGCACGTTGAAAATGACTATCGGATGTTCCCTATAAACAATAAAACTGCATAAATTATTATTAGTCTTACAAAGAATTCTCCAATGTATAATCCTATATTAATTCACTATTACAAATAATTATGAAAGTTAAAATATATAAGACACGCTTAAAATTTATGATTATATACAATCATTTGTTTTTTATTCTTCCACTAATCACACGTACATATGAATTACCACATAACAGTTCTACATCAATTAAATGTTATAACAATTGTATTTTGAGTAGACTAAAATTAAGTAAACAGGAAGGAACGTAAGAAATTAATATAGAATTTTTTTTAATATAAAATCATATAACAAACATTTATAAAACTAAATATAAGTTGACAAAAACTATTTATGGTAATTGAAAATATTATGTTTGTCTGTTTAATACATTAAAACTACATTATTTTTATTAAATATTTAAAATGTAATGTTTTGAATATATCCACATATACCATAGTATGCTCAAATTTTAAATATACTGTAGTTTATGAGCGATGGATACATCCAAACTAGGAATATATTTTAATCAAATTATGGTGGAAGATTTAAACAATTCACATTTAAATGAGTTTTAAATTAAACTATTACTATAAAATAATATATCATGACTCTGAATAAAATTATGTAAACTTTTATAATAATATTAATAGACAATAACAGTTAATAATAATATAAATTTGGTTATTAAAACTGATTTTGATCCTTACCGGAGTAATAGGATGAGAAATTGTTGGAGGAGTTGGAACAGCTCCCGTTTTTAATAATAACTGTTTTTTTAACTCTAAGTCTTCGAGTATCTTTCGATTTTGAATACCTAATAGAAAATTTAAGAACTATTCAAATGAATGTTAATCAAGTTTAATATATATACAACAGTAACGAAAATACCTCTAGCGTTTTGTGGTGGAAAAGACATAACCATTAAATTAATAGGTAATTTAATTAATTAAATTGAAACCATTAAAACCATAATATAACAAAAAAAAAGCCAACGAAAATATCAGGGACAACTGGTTTCTATGGATCTGCAAAACGCTACAAACATTTTTATTTTGATAAAACATGAAGTGAACGCTCAAAGTAAAATGGCCGAACCTTATAGATAACACGTAGATAACAAATACCTTGTTAGAATTCGTTACGCGCCAAGATTTTTTGAACGCGAATTAATTTCTTACGCAAGTTCATTATTATTGTCTTTTAATGTTGCTCAACTTATACAAACTGCAGTAGATCTACAAAAATGTGTTGATCTATACCAGGGACGAGAAACTAAGTCTTACTAGAGGGCCATTATTCAGAGCTTAAAAAATTAAGAAGTTCAGAAAATTAAATCCAAAACCGAACAACACAACGCGTGTAAAACATAATGTATGCAATGATTTATATTCGATAGTGTTGGGTACTTATGTTTAAAATGAATTTTTTCCATTTTTTTTTTTTTTTATCAAAAATAAATCCTAATATCTTCATAATTCCAATGTTATTGATCTCCTTGCTATACTTAATGTGATATTTGCTTTTGTTATGGTTTTACCGACTGAAAATTTTATACGTATTTTGATTTTTTATTTAAAAATCTAAAACCTGTTTTATTATTATGCTTTTTCTTATTCTATTAACTTCAAGATTTTAAAGAAAGTTTCATAGGTTTTAGCGTTCATTGTTAAACTTACTTTTTGTGTGTATCTTTTTTGCGATTTCCTGTAAACGCTATTATTTAATGTTCTTTTCTTTAATTATGAATAGTAAAACCTAAATTTATATTCATTGATTTTGTTACAATTCTTTTCCGAAAATATTAAACTTCTTTTAAAACTATTGATAATTATTATTCATAATTTTAAAAGTATAATATTTCGAATCAGGCATTTAGCTGTATACTACCTGCTATATCTATACAGATCGATAGCATTCATTCGTGTTTATTTAACTCTCTTGAATAAATTGGCCACAGTTTTTGATGTTTTCTATAACTATAACGACGCCAACAATATTTTTAATTTTGTATCCCAATTAAAAGAGGTAAACCATAAATCAACTAGGGATACAGCCGTTATTGTTTAATTACAACAATATTGGTAACATTCGATTTAAAAATATATATATAAAACAATAAACTTCACAATAATTTAATGAATAATGTAGGGCACATTTACTTTATTTCTCTGTGGCCATCGGCCACTTATTTATAAATGAACACAATAACTAATAATAAATTAGTATTCATATTTAATTATTTTCTCGATAGTCATTATTGTGTAATATTTTAGACGAATAAAATATATTTGTACATTATTGCTTATCATCGATGTTTCTGAATGAAAACATATAGGGGATATGTTTGTGTTAGTAACATCGCATAGCACAAATATTGGTATAAATCAACACAAAAATACAAATTATATATAAGCCTAAGAGTTAAGCATATAAAACTATAAAATATTTTATTTCTTTTAGTTTGTGGCTTATATTTATTTAACACGAATTGACGAACAACTTTTGAGTTAAAAACCACACCGTATATTTTTATTGGTAGACATTATTATGTATATATGAGTTCTTGAGTATTATAATACTTTTATATATAAACCGATTTTTATACACAATTTTTTTATTTATGTTTAATTTATATATTTATATATTATTTTGTTTATTAATAATAATATTATTTTAAATTTATTAAGGGTCTTTGAAAATGATTACTAGTATGTATCTATACTTTAATTATACATAACAAATGCATATAAATTATTAAGTTATTACCTGTTATAATGATATTCAATATTTCCCAATACATAACTAAATTCATTTTATTATTTTTCATAATAGTTTTTTTGTTTTTATCATAAATTGTAATTGCAACTTAAGGAGTATTAACTTTTGAAATTTTCGCTTACACATTATCAGTACATGCTACTTAAAAACTATATAATGTCCGAAGTAATAAGACTTCAATATATTTAAAACTATAAAATAGTATAAATCTCTCATTTTTCGAATAACTTAAAACATTATGTTATAATGCTTCTAAAAAACTCACAGTTGTTGCCAAAATCAATAACCATTTATAAGATAGAGAAATAATTTTGTATATTTATAAGTTATAGCTCATCAAATATAAATGGCACTTGGCAGTGATCATTTTATGCATTCTGTTTTAAAATAACATGAAATAGATACCAGAAAAAAATAAGAGAACAAACAATTGTATAAAATAATATTTATTACAATTTTTGCAGTAAATAAAGCTTAATCTTTTTTTATACTAAGTCTGGAATATTTCAAATTATTTAACCGATATTAATGTGAAATATAAATCGTTGATAATCTTATAAAGAATTATAAATGTATAAAATATTATTACAAGTACAGTAAATAATTATTTATGTTATTTTTAAATTATATTCATATATTTTAGATTCTGACTGAAACGAGGAATGCGTAGGTTTTACTGTGGTTTATGTTTTTTGTTTTTGATCTGTATACATTATTTCGATCTGAATGAGTGCTTCATTCATCACCAAATAAAAATTAATAGATAGAAAATAAGTTTTAGTTGGTACTTTGGGGGAGGGGAGAAATACATTTTTGAATTTATTAACAAATTTTCAAATAATGAAGAAAAACATAGAAATAATTATAAAAAACTTAAAATAATATCTGAGATTTGAAATCTTTACCACTCGAAATCGCATAATATTTTGTCAAGTATCATTTTGTTTTTTTTTTATCTTTAGTCTGTGTTGTTTGATATTGACCAGAAGAATTTTTATGATAATCAAGCTCCATCACAACAGATTCTCGTAAGAAATATTGTCTAGTTAGTGCTTTGAAAGGGTGTCATTTTAAGTATTTCCCAACAATTTTCTTCTTAATAGTTGCGAAAAGATGTCAAAAAGTTATACAAATATATGGAAATTCACGGCATATCAGTTTTCGATAAAATTGAATTTTTTTTTCATTGTAACTCAAAAATAATAATCGTTGATACACATAGACGTGCGCAGGAATTTTTTATGGGGTGCGTCATATGCCACATGAAGAACATTTTACCGCTTTTCTTTATATGAGCCTTACTGAATCTCATCTTACCCTCCCTCCTAAAAAAAAGATAAATTTGGATTAAACCATAAGTTAGAATTTTTCCATTTTTAATGGAGGTCCTAATTTATTTTATCTAATTTTTACTATTTGTAACTTAAAATTTAAACAAAGTCCCCAAATTAATAAAAGTTGTAATAAAACCACGGGCTACAGGGTATACCACAGCACACCGTCTTTGCACGCCTATATTGATACATGTCATTTTCACTTAATGGTATATCCCATTTCGCTATAGATGGTAGAATTTTTAGATTTTTTTTAATTTTTGAACTATTTATAGAAAATAGAAATTTTCATGTTCTCTTAGTTTTTTCGAAATATTATTATTAAAATAATTATGTTTTTAAAGATTAATTTAATTTCTAAGTTAATCGTGTAATGGGGAATTAAATTATACGCCCAAAAAATAATTTCAAGAAATTATTTATACCACAAAAATACCTTACTTCACCCTAGAATAATACTATTTATCCATCCTTGTATTTCATCCAACCTAGGAGACTCATAGTTTTTTTACTTTTATTCTTATTCTTAATATATTTTGTTTTAATTAAAAGTGGTTCTTTTAAAATCATCAAGAAAATATATAGATTTTATAATATAAACATAATACTTATTATATTAGTTTAATTTTAAATTAATAACTTTCAATGAATATATTATTTGAGAGTAACATGTGGTATGAAGTTGAATGAAAAATGTATAATAATATAAGTAGTCTACTTTCCTAGATATTGTCATACTTCTAATTGGAAATCACTATGTTCGTATTATGATTTGATATTGAAAAAAGTTGAAGACAACTCTAATTTCGAATGTTGATGATCGAATATTTTAGGTTATTGTATTAACATTGTAACGTTTTTAATTGAAATAAATATCAGTATTACTTAATAAATATTAGTAAATAAATTAGAAAATAAAGACTTTTAGTCAATTAATTAAAAATTTCCCAATTTCAAGTTTTATAAATATTTTTGAATTGCATATTTTTATGAAAACTGAATGACTTTTTTTAAACTAATAGATGGAGTAACATTTTTATTTTGAAATATTATATATTATTCTTAAAAATACTAAATAATTATAATATTTGGCAAATTATATAGTTTATCTAAACTTTTAATTACTCTGAAATAAATATTATTTTATTTGAAAATATTGTAAGTTATATTGCTCTTTAATACTATAGAACTCTATAAAATAGGTATATTTATAAAATATTGACGTTGTATTCGTATAATATTATTTATATTATTATATAATTTTTCGAGTAAAATGTGTATCCATAGTTTTTTTTATGAAATTAATACTATTTTAAAAAGTGAATACTTTTTCAACCTTACTATTCTAAAATATCTTGAGATTACAAATCATAATTTTTTTCTTATGATATTATATAGATATTTATATAAATAATATATTATATCTCATATATTTACTTACTCACATGTGTTAAATAAACCGATCTATGCTTTTCAGCTTGGAATCAACTTTTGATTTTATAATACTCACATTTTATCGAATAAATAATATTTTAAATTGCTAATATTAAACATCAGTCCTCATAAATTCTGTATCTTTGGACGTTTATCAGACGTACTTTTTTTTGTAGAAATAATACGTGATGCTGTGATACACTATGATACATTTTTAATTTAATCAGTACGTGATAATTTACCATTATCATTTTTTGCCTTAAAATATCTTCTTTTCACATATACTCTGTCTATTTTTAATTACATATATAAATACTACGTTGTTAAATTTATCATATTTTTGTACAATTTTTAATACATTGATGAACTGGAAGATACTTGGGCGTTCTGAGAATACTACTCAATTGAAGCAAAATTATATTTGATTACGAACTATCCAATATATACTCTTATAACTTCAAGATTGTTACAGTCTTCTACTTGTATTAGTACTTGATAACTTTGTACGTGTCAGGCGCGG